GGCTGCTCTGGGGTCTGCTGAAGACACCTGCTGGCAGAGGCACTGGTGAGCCTGGAGGGCGGTGAGTCTGGAGGGCGAGGCCTGCCCTGCCCTGACTTCTCTGGCAAAGCCCACCTAGGACCTAAGCACCTCCCACAAGGACCACCTCCTCCACAGCGCCTGCTAGCTTAGGCCTTAAAGGGCCAGCACACCCTGCTGCACTGCTTCCCATCCAGCTCCCTGCAGGTGCACTGGGAAAGCAGCAGAGGATGGAGCAAGCGTTTGCACCCCTGCACCCTCATGAGAGACCAAGATGGAAGTCCCAGCCTTCTGGCTTAGGCATGAGCTGGCCCTGGGCATGGTGGCCATTTAGGAGAGCATAACTCATACATTGTTTTTTAAATAAATTTTATTTTCAAGGCAGAAAAAGACACAGACCAGCCTTCCACTTGCTTGTTCTCCTCCCACACACTAACAAAGCTGGCAGCTTGGAGCTCCATCGAGGTATCCTGCACAGGTGGCAGGGAACCAGGTGTCCGGGGCATCACTAGCTGCTTTAAGTGATAAGAAGCTAGGATTAGAAGTGGAACCAGCATAAACCCCAGCTTCTCCCAGATGGAGAGTGGGGAGGCAGGTGTTCCAAGTGGCTTTTTTTCCTAATAAATATGTTTCTTCATGCTTGGCACGTAATTGTACGTATTTTAGGGCTGCGTGTCTGCAACCTGTAGTGACTAGATGAGAAGCACAGCTCTGGGCTCAAGCATTGCCCACTTGTGGCGGGCTCACTCCGGATCCTATCAGCTATTCCGAGACAGAGCGAAGCAGTTTCCATCCGGGAGCTCTCTGCGCTGCTTGTCACCATAGGTCACTCCCCTCACTAGTGGATGGGAGGTCGTCTCTCTGTAAATCTGCCTTCCTAATAAAAATATTTTTGAAAAAAAAAAAAAGTCTTTTGGGATTGGCGCAGTAGCCTAGTAGCTAAGGTCCTCTCCTTGTACGTGCCAGGATCCCATATGGGCGCCGATTCTAATCCCGGCAGCCCCGCTTCCCATCCAGCTCCCTGCCTGTGGCCTGGGAAAGCAGTCAAGGATGGCCCAAAGCCTTGGGACCCTACACCCTCTTCAGAGACCCAGAGGAAGCTCCTGATCAGCTTAGCTCCAGCCACTGCAGTCACTTGGGGAGTGGGTTAACAGAAGGAGGATCTTTCTTTATCTGCTCTATCTATATCTGCCATTCTTTTTTTTTTTTTTTGGAATGGCAGATAAATCTTAAATAAAAGACAGACCTAGGTGGAATTTCTGGCTCTCTGATTGGGCCTGGCTCAGCTGGTTCATTTGGAGAGTAAACCAGCTGCTGATGGAAGCTGTTTGCTAATAAAATCGGTAAATAACCAAGAGGAAAGCCTGGAAGCCACGGTGTTGTACTGTCTACTCCAAGAACACAATGAGCGATTGTCCCACCTGCTGGGAGAGGCTGCAGGAGAAAGCCTGGGCCTAAGGAGGAATCCCCAGAGGGTGCCACCAGCACCTAGGTGTGAGGGGGGCCTGGAATCCACCCTGCACACACAGAATTGTTAGGGCTCCCCTTCTCTCTGCCAGGGACTGACTTGAAGAACCCGATTTCTGAGCCTTCCTTTTTAAGATTGAAATATAAAACAAGACCGAAATACAAACCCATCCTTGGCAGCTGCAAAGACCCCGTGGCTGGAGGTGGCAAGTTTACACATAAACAATGATGATGGGGACACTTGGAGGTCCTAGACCCTAACAGGAAGTTGGGGTTGTTCCAGAACCTTCTCTCAACAACCAGTAAATTCTTCCCCATTTATGTTTGCCACTCAGTCTGCCTAGGACCCTCTCCTCAAGGTGGAGTCAGAGCCATTTCTTTTTTTTTTTTTTTAAGATTTATTTTTAGGGCCCGGCGCGGTGGCGGGAAAGGCGGATATACAGAGAGGAGGATCTTCCGTCCGATGATTCACTCCCCAAGTGAGCGCAACGGCCGATGCTATGCCGATCCGAAGCCAGGAGACTCTTCTGGGTCTCCCACGCGGGTGCAGGGTCCCAAAGCTTTGGGCCGTCCTCAACTGCTTTCCCGGGCCACAGGCAGGGAGCTGGAAGGGAAGCGGGGCTGCCGGGATAGAACCGGCGCCCATATGGGATCCTAGGCGTGCAAGGCAAGGACCTTAACCACTTGCGCCACCACGCCAGGCCCATGTCAGAGCCATTTCTACCCAGGATTCTGAGCACCTGATACCAAACACTCGCGATTACAATGAGTAACCCAACTCCAGCGCTGGAGGAACTGCTCAGGTCCTTTTGAGAACATGAGCCGCAGAATTAGCGATCTTTGCCGCAACTCCCTTCCCTTCCCAGCTCACCCCTCTCAGGGCAGCTAGGCAGAGCCGGGCATTGGCTAACTGCCCTGTCATTGCCTTGGCCCAGCCCTGCAGGCAACCACTGCTGGCTGCTTTGAGTCACCTTTCTATAAAAGGCCAAAAGCCATAGCTTGCAGCAGCATCAGAATTCAGAGTGGTGTGCACGGCCTGTGGTTCTCGGCCACGGGAGGGGGGCCAGGTGCTCACTTCTGGACGAGGAGGATGTCGTTGAAGCAGGTTATCTTGTTACACAGCCTCCCCACTCTGCACTTCCATCTTCGGGGCTGCGGCTTTGACCCTGCAAGGCCGCTTAAAGGGCTTGAACGAAGTGCCCAGCATTTGGGCTCTGGAGGGCAAGACGCCAGGGAGAAGCTGGGGCAGACGCTCACGCTGCCTCCCCACCAGCCCCCTACTGGCATCCGCTCCTATCTGGAAGCTTCTCCACTGGGGCGGGGGCCTCAAGTCTGAGCACTCCTGTTCCTACAGCGAAATGCAGTCCACCAGGCACCTGTGGGGTAGAGCCGGCTCAGGGTCACCTGATAGGAAGGCAGCTCTCTGGTAGCATGAGCCCCACAGGCAAAAAAAAAAAATTCAGCTAAGCCACATCCCAACAACAGGCCTGCTGGCCGTGAGCCACTCGGGGTGTGGCATTCATCACACAGCCACACATGCAGGCACTGCCAGCTCATGGTAACCGCATTAGGTACCAGCTGCATCTGAACCAGAAAAGCACAGGCGCAGGGGCAGGATGGTGAGAACCAGGTCTCGCCCCTAAAATGAAACCTACCCTTCCAAACTGCTGTTTCCCAAGGGCCTGCCCTTGCCTCTACTGCAGCTCTGAGGCACAGCTTAGCGGGCAACAACTGACAGCGCAAGTGCTGGGGGGCTCTGCCACCCCCAGGGAGCCCCAGGCCCCTGGCTCCCCATCTTGGCCTGGCCCAGCCCTGTTGTAGGCATTCGGGGAGCAAACCAGTGGGCCGGGATTTCTCTCCTGTCTGTCCCTCTTTGCCTGATAGATAAAATGACAACTACAAGGTTCCGTGGACACCCAGCGAGGTCCCCCGTTGTGCCCACAGGTGATGGCAAGCCTGGGTCTTCCTCGTTAAAACCATGGCTGGATTGACTGCGGTGCCACGTCGGCAAGACTGTCCCCCAACGGCTTCCGTCCAGGCTGTTAGCACACCGACAGCCCAAATGCTCCGTGGAGACCAACCTGCTCACCAAAGACCTTGCAAACAAAGCCAAGAGACAGCTGCCTTTTATTTTCTAGTAAGACTAAATTTATTCAATACCCTAGTAAAAGTTCTGATTATAAGTATCCAACAGTATAAAAAGTACAAAAACAGATCTGTAGATTTCTAATATATTAATACAAAGTGCATGACTACGTACAGTACATCCTACAGGCAAAGAGAGGTGGAGGGGGGAGAAGACGGTGGTTGAGGTCTAGCAATAAATAAATAAATACAGAAGTAGAGATGCTCCATGTTATAGTATATTCTACCACCAGTACTGCAGCCAAAATGTACAAAACAGAACAACGACAAAGCCATTTCCAAGTAACTCGGGGTCGAGGGTGGAGGCTGCACGCCTGTGGTCCCCGGGGGGCCGTGCACCTGCACGGGCTGGCGGGCTGCTTCTCCCACCACAAAGCAAGCCAACCTGCACAGCGCAGGGCAGCTCGCTGCTCAACTATGCTAGCCAGCCGTCTCAATCCAGTTTTACAAAAAGCATGGACTCCCTGGGTGGCAAGGCAAGCGGGAGGGAGGCCTCCCTCCAGGACAAGCCTTCTGCCCGGGGCTTTCAGGTGCCGTAACTTCCCCAGAACTTGCAGACCAGACACAATGAGAACCCTCGAGAGGGGCTCCCATCTAGCGTCTCGGAAGAGAAGGGCTCTAAGTTAGGAGACACTGAGCAGGGAGTCCGGCCCAGTGCAGATCCTTTTAGCACAGAGTAAGCCTCTTCTTTCAGCCACTTTTACCCTAAACTTAGCCAAAGAAGCCCAAAGCCCGGCACCAAGCGCCAGCTCACACGGACAGCACGGTCCTGGAGGGCCAAGGAACTGGGCCAGGCCCATGGTCCAGCAGCTGCCATGCAACCTCACATGGATTCAAATCTGCATCCAATAGCAACTCGAGGGGGAGTGACATGGGGCACAACACACAGGCTGGGGATCTCCACCCCCCACCAAGAGGAATGACCGTCCCCTTCCTGGGACGCACCTCCGGCAGCTGTCTGTCCTGCTTCGTCGTCAGTAGTACGGGTTTGAACCCTCAGAACCTGGCCAGACCTCAGCATCCCCATGCCGGGGCTGGTCCCAGGATGGTCGGCGTCCTGTCGGCAAGACGAGGAGTGCCGGCCAGCCCCGAAACTGCTCCAACCACTGCTTCTCAGAAAGACTACACACTACAGACTTTGTATCATACAACAGATCCCATCTCTGTCCCCTGAAATTCCCCTAATTCCATTCATTAGAAGGGGATTTAAAAAAAAAATAATAATAAGATGCCAAAGAGCACTTTACAGCAGCGTCCAGCTTTCCTATGATACTCAGCATCTTAAATAGTATGTACACAGATTTTCACTCTCCAGAAGCGACACTGGCTTCAGGATGTGGGGGCCGGGGGAGCAAACAACCCATCCAAAACTAGCCTAGAGAACGTCTTTTGGCAGAATAGCAGGTGTCCGAGTAGAAAGGGAGGGGGGGTCAGTTTGTCACTGGCTGGTCGAGGGCGGCGGTCACCACTCCTGGGTGGCCATGGGCAGCGGCTCGGGGGCCTGGGGTGTGGGCGGCTCGGCCGCCGCCTTCTTGCTGTTGCAGCAGGGCTTGAAGAGGTGCGTGTCAATGAGCACCTCCCCGAAGCGCCCTTTGTAGATGATCCCGCAGCAGATCTTCTGTCTGGAAGGACGAGAGAGAGAGAACAGACACATGCGTGAGGCACTGTGGGTGCAACAAGCGCCTCCTCCTCGCTGCGCCCTGCGTGACCAGATGGTCCCCTACTGGCCCCGGTCAGGCGGGGGAAGGGGATGGGGGATGCTCCTCAGCGTGTGTGTGTGTGTGTGTGTGTGGAGACGTATGATGGAGACACAGCAGGCATCCTGCTATACTGCTGCAGCCTGAACCATTTTCTCCTGCAGTAACTAGCTCCCTGTCCACAGGCTGACCCAGCAGCTCGACGTCCTGGAGTGACCCAGCTGGGGTCCAGGGAGGCTGCCAGCTGTGTCCTGGACGGAACCAACCTCGGTCTCTTGTCTCTTTTGTCCTACGCAATCATTTCCAGCCCAATCTGTTTTCGGTGTTGCAGCGGCCGTTCCTGCCGACCGTGTGAGCGACCCTGCGGCTGCCGACGCCCTCATGGCATTTCCTAGAGAACCACGACTCCCCACTGGTCCCCACGCTCCACCGGTGTCCCCCAGTTTATAGCCCAAATCACACTGTAGTGATCACTACGGCTTCACACGTCCAGCTTCTCCTTAGCTCCAAGGCAGCTAGGTCTCTCTCACTGGAAAGCAGACAGCTTGGTCACGGTCGCTTTGTATCCCAGAGCTTGCAAAGTCACACCACCGCGCTTCCCACACGGCTGCTGTGTGCACGCCGCCTCCGTCCCCTGCCTGCCCATCTCGGCCGCTCCCTGGTGCCGCACCTGGGGGAGCAGTGGGTGGGGTGGGGGTGGCCTAACTGCTTGGTCCCTGCCACCCATGTGGGGGACCCAGGAGCTCCTAACTCCAGCCACTGAGGCCACCGGGGAGTGCATCAGTGAATGAAAGTTCTCAACGCTGCCTTTCAAATCAATCAATCAATCCATCAATCTTTAAAGGCATTGGGGCAGACCATCAATATCATAATTTTTCAATCTCGCAGAGAGTGCCTCTCTGGGCCCGGCACGTCTTGGTGAAGTTTTCAGAATTATGGGACTCATGGTTCTTCACTCTTCTCGGACACAGGCAGGGCACACGACCCCTGGGAACACACCCACTTCCACCTCGGCTCGTCCTCATGCTTCCCTTTTTCCTGGGTCAGGTTTTCACTCTCCCCACTGCTTCTCACCTCCTACCCCGTCGATTCCTACTCACACCTTTAGAATTTCTTTCATGCTTCTCTGTCGGGCTCCATTGACACCTACTTTTAACACATCTCAATTCATCTGCTTCAGTTTGCCTTTCGGAATGGCAGTAATGGTAACAAATGTTGGGCCCGGTGCAGTAGCCTAACGCTTAAAGTCCTTGCCTTGCATATACCAGGATCTCATATGGGCACCGGTTCATGTCCCAGCTGCTCCACTTCCCTAACTTGTGGCGTAGGAAAGCAGTCGAGGACGGCCCAAAGCTTTGGGACCCTGCACCCGCGTGGGAGACCCGGAAGAGGCTACAGGTGTCAGATCAGCGCTATTCTGGCCGCTGGGGCCAACTGGGGAGTGAACCAGTGGACGGAAAAATCTTTTTGTCTCTCCTTCTCTCTATAAATCTGAACTTTCAATAAAAATAAATAAATCTTAAAAATCTTGATAACACTTCTGTCTTCTTATAGTTGGAAAACTTTCAGAATATGAGGTCTACCTCACTGAAGAAAATGGGAATCTTAGATGTTTGTGGTTCCAACGGACAACACCCCTCTCCCGCTCTCCCAGCTGCTCCGTGGGACGGGGTGGCCTGCTGTCACGCCGGCCGGCTGACCGGGGGCACCGGCTCTTACCTTTTCCAGTAGGTGAGATCCAGAAAGGAAAACACCGGTGTTCTGTTGGAGCCCGAAGCCATCTCCGTGTCCGAGCCGTCGTCCGACTGGTTGCTGTAACACGGAGACTGAGCCGGGGAGGCACTCGAGGTGGTACTGTGGGCGTCAGAATCTACGAGAAAGACAAAGCAACAACCCCGTTTCGTGAAATGGCCACGCGGGCATTCCTCAGCTCACACTGGACTTGCATTGCAACGAACCCAGTCAAAGGCCAGTGTGCCCTGTGCGGTTAGGACCCCATGCCAAGGCTGGTGACAGCCCTTACTGGAGTACCGATACCAGTCCCTGTGACCGTGCTCTTCCAATCCAGCTCGCTGCTGAGGTGCGAGAAAAGGCGGCGGCAGACAGCCCCTGGGTCCCTGCCACCTGCGTGGGAAACCAGGACCGAGCCCCTGGCTTCTGGCTTCAGTCTGGCCCAGCTCCCAGCAGGTGCAGCCATCCAGGAAGTCAGCCACAGAAGGAAGGCCTCTTCCTTTCTGCCACTCTGCCTTCCAAATGAATATAAAAATCTTTCTGAAAACGCAGGCTATGCAGCTAAGCTACTGCACATCATTGCAGGGCCGACGGGCACCACCCAGGGCCGACCCTCACCGCCACAGGGCCGACCTCACCACCACAGGGCTGACGGGCACCGCCACAGGGCCGACCCTCACCTCCACAGGGCCGACCCTCACCTCCACAGGGCGACCTCACCACCACAGGGCCGACCCTCACCTCCACAGGGCCAATGGGCACCACAGGGCTGACCCTCACTGCCACAGGACTGACCAGCAGCTGGGAGTCACTAGCCTAAAAAACCATGCAATTCAGAAAGCTGGAAATGTAGGTTCTACTTCATGGTTATCACTTTCATGTCACAATGCCTTAAGATGGGGGACATAATCTAATCTTCAACAGAAGACAATCAACAAACTGGGAAAAGAAAGAAAAAGTAAATGTATCTTTTGCTCACTGTTGGTATTTGAAGATGCTTGTTTTAAACTTCTCTTAAGAACTGAAAGGGCTGGCACCATGGCATAGTAGATTGGGCTGCCCCCTGCAGTGCCAGCATCCCACATGGGCCCAAGTCCCAGCTGCCCCACTCCTGATCCAGCTCCCTGCTAAGGGCTGGGAAAGCAGCAGAAGATGGCCCAGGTGCCTGGGCCTCTGCAGTCACGTGGGAGACCCAGAGGGAGCTTCTGCTCAGCTGAGGTCAGGACTGAACCAGCAGATGGAAGCTTTTTCTCCGTCTCTCTCTCTCTCTCTCTGTCAATCTGCCTTTCAAATAAAAATAAATCGTTAAAAAAATAAAAATAAAACAAAGAGGACTTGGACTGACAGGACAGAGCAGATGCGTCCTCTGCCATTCCCACCAGGACCTGCGACACGGGCAGGTGCATGGGGCATGGTCTCCTTAGCTTGCTTTCCGTCCCCATGAAGGTGCCGCACAGAAGCCCGAAAGTGCCCCGAGGGAAGGGAGTCAGGGAGGGAAAACCAGCTTTCCCCTTAGCCAAAGGGCAGCCTAGCAAGACAGGCAACTTTCATTAGACAATAACCTCGCTGCCCTGGGCAAACAGCAAAGAATAAACTGTGGCCACGCCCGGCCCAGCCTGGGAGCTGAGCTGCCCCTCAGGCAGCTCCAAGGAGGCAGTGCCGGAAGAACTCTCACCAGGCCAGAACCAGGACCGCGCCCACCCCCCACCTAGAAACAGGCCTAACCACCAGGCAGACAGGGGCAGCAGATCCCAACCCTGCCGCACAAGCACCCAGGAAGAACCAACGACAAGCACGAGTTGCAGCTAAGATCGAATCCCACGCTGAGGCCACAGCACGTCCAGGAACACACAGAATCGCATCTTACAGAGAAGAGCAGGTGAGACAAGGGCGGGCTCTACAGGAACCAACACAAACACGGCTCCAGCAAGCAAAGGGGGCATCAGTAAAAACAAGCAGAACCCCCCAAGGAAACTCTGCAAGCCTACTCAACAGCAGGACAGAGCCCACTGCTGGAGAACATGGACTCTGGAAGAAGACACGAGAGGGCGTGGGAAGCTGGCGACGCAGCCAGATGTGGCAAGGACAGGAGTCCAGAGGCTGAGCAAACCCGCGTGCTCCAGGCCCAGGCACCCCGCGTGAAGGAGCTGAAGAGCCCAGGGGAAGACACCTGGAGAGCAGTCCAGACAAAGGTCACTTGGCCTTCCAGGGGAAAGTGACACACCCAGACTCAGAGCCAAACCTCCTGTGATGGCGGGGCCCTCAGGACAGTCCTGGGAACCCACCGGTGGAAAGCAATGTTCGGTGGGTGTCACCGAGCTGGGAGACTGGACAGCTGGGTCACCTGGGTCACAGGCCCAGCAGCATCCCCAGAGGGCGGGACCGAGCACCTCTCACGGGTACGTAGACCCGTCTTCCAACTAGCTAAGCCAATCAAGAAACCATAAGTATTTCCGAGGCCTCAAAGCTTGTGCTGTGCCCTGCACAGATTAACACACCAAGGTTTTCAAACAAGCTCACAAGTATTTTCAATCAACAAAAATTTCCGGGAAATTGGTCACCTAAAACAAGGGAAGCGCCCTTACTGTCTTCATAATGTGCAATTTATTTCCATTATTTTAATAATGCCAACTTCATACAAAACAAAGGGGATGCTGCAGGCCATGGTGGGCCCCACCTCTGGCACCAGCTGCGGCTCAAGCGCCGAGGTTCCTGCCAACCACCTGAGACCTGGCCCCACCTCTGGCACCAGCTGCGGCTCAAGCGCCGAGGTTCCTGCCAACCACCTGAGACCTGGCCCCACCTCTGGCATCAGCTGCGGCTCAAGCGCCGAGGTTCCTGCCAACCACCTGAGACCTGGCCCCACCTCTGGCACCAGCTGCGGCTCAAGCGCCGAGGTTCCTGCCAACCACCTGAGACCTGGCCTGCCCTCCTGCTTCTCCGCCCTCAGCACCCAGGTGGCTCAAGCACTGGTGACTCTTGCTTCCAAACCACCTTCTGACTGCACTGTCTGGGAAGCCCGTGGAGGAGTGCTCACGTTCCCGACAGCCGGGAGACACCTCCTGCTCTCAGCCTAACTCAGCCCCGGCCACTGTGGCCACTGCGGAGTGAACCAGTAGCAGGCAGGTCTCTTTCTGCCTCTCAAATAAATACATGTTTTTGAAAAAGAAATAATTACCATCTGCCTAAGAATTTTTTGTTTTGCAAATGTAGTTTTTTTTTTTTTTCTCACCAGACTGTGTCAGGTGATGCCTGGTCACATCTTTGTCAGGTAAGACCTGCAACTGAAATTCGAAGCAAGCTCCAGGTGCAGGGCCTTCCCAGCAGGCAGGAGACCGCCTGCGAGGTGAGGCAGGAAAAGTCAGATGTCTGAGCACGGCGGCACACAGGTGCTGGCAAGTCACACAGCACCCGCCACCGGAAGAATCGACGCACACCAAGCACCCTCGGCCGCCGTGCAATTCAGACGAGAGCGAAGTACACACACACACACACACACAGAACCGCTGCTTCCCGAACGCTCAGCACACATCTGAAGGGGGCAGACCTCTGGCGCAGCAGTTGCCATGTCACCCGGGATGCCCACTTTCCAGGTGGTCTGGGGCCCAGATCCACTTCAGATTCCAACTTCCTGCTACTGTGCATCCCGGAAGGCAGCCAGTCACGCCTTAAGTGCTAGCTAGGGTCCTTGGAGAAACCTAGATTAAGTTCCAAACTTCAGGATTCAACCTAACCCAGCACTGGCTGTTGTGGCAACTCAACCAGGACAAAAGATCAGTCCCTTTTGTTCCCCTCTGTCTCTCTCCCATCCTTTCAAATTAGTGAAAATTAATTGAATAAAAAATAAATAAATAAAAACTCCTTTAGGGACCAAACACTGTGGCACAATAGGTTAAGCCACAGCCTGGAATGGCAGCATCCCGCAGGGCTCTGGCATAATACTCCACCTCCTCCCCAGCTCTCTGCCAGTGACCCTGGGAAAGCAGTGAAGCCGGCCCCGGCCCTCGGACCTGTTACCCACGTGGAGATTGAGAGGAAGCGCCTGGCTTCAGCTTGGCTCCAGGCTCAGGCCACTGTGGCTGTCTGAGAGTAAACAGATGGGGGACCTCTCTGTCTCTCTATCTCTCTGTGTAATTCTGGCTTGCTTTCTTTTTTTTTTATTGGAAAGGCAGATTTACAGAGAGAAGGAGAAACAGAGATCAAGATCTTCCATCTGCTAGTTCACTCCCCAAGTGGTCACAATGGCCAGAGCTGAGCCTATCTGAAACCAGGAGCCAGGAGCTTCTTCTGGGTCTCCCATGAGGGTACAGGGTCCCAAGGCTTTGGGCCATTCTCCTTGACTTTCCCAGGCCACAAACAGGGAGCTGAATGGGAAATGGAGATGCTGGGAACCAGCATCCATGTAGGATCCCGACACATGCAAGGCAAGGACTTTAGCCACTAGGTTACCACACCGGGCCCAATTTTGGTTTTCCAAATACAGACACTCTTTTTAAATAAAAACAGACAGAATGAAAAGTGAATGAGAGTTCCTTAAGGAAAAAAGGATTGGGCCGGGGGTGCTGCTTGGAAAGGCCAAGGCTGCACTTAATATCCAAGAGGTGGCTGCAATGACAGCTGGCCACTCTTCCAATCCAGCACCCCGCTAACGCTCCTGGGAGGGCACGACAGCCCAAGTATTTGGGTCCTGGATACCCCTGTGGGAGATCCTGAACAAGCTCCTGGCTTTCGACTGCCTCAGCTCTGGCTGTTGCGGCTATTTGGAGAGTGAACTAGCAGATGCAAGGTTTAACCTCTCTCTCCCTCTGTTAAGCTGCCTTTCAAATCAATCAATCAATCAATCTTCTCTTCAGAAGAAGCAGAGGGTCTGGCACTAGGGTTAGCCACCTAGTAGCTAAAGTCCTTGCCTTGCACGAGCCAGAATTCCACATGGGGGCCTGTTAAGTCCTAGCTGCTCCACTTCCCTTCCAGCTCCCTGCTTGTGGGCTGGGAAAACACTAGAGGACAGATCAAAGTCTTGGGACCCTGTACCCATGTGGGAGACCCAGAAGAAACTCCTGGCTTTGAATGGGCTCAGCTCCGGGCACTGTAGCCTCTTGGAGAATGAAACAATGGATGGAAGATCTTTCTGTCTTTCCTTCTCTCTGTCAATCTGCCTTTCCAATAAAAATAAATAAATAACAATAACAACAAAAGATGCAGGCAGAAGCTATACAGGCAATGCCACAACGCTGGCCCTCTAAATAGATCTCGTCTAAAAATCAAGCAAAAAAGCTGCAGGTGAACTTCTTCTAGAAAATAAAGATGTGAATAAAAGAATCAAGCGGTCTGCACAATCTGAAGGCACGGCTAGTGAGCAAGTCCAACATCGGAACTGGAGTGTCAACGCACACACTGCCTTCCAAGGCTCTTTCCAAAACGAAACCAGAAATCAAAGGGATAAACGACCAGCGTGTCCCCCATGCTGCCACACTCACAGACACTGAGACAGCGAGATCTCTCCCTTCCTGCCACTGTGTCGTTCTGAAGCTCCAGTGTGCAACTTACTGTGACGCTTAAACTCCTTCTGCAGCTTGCTGATCTGGTTGCTCTTGATCCTGTTTCCAGACAGCGCCTTCACTTTCTTTGGCTTCAAGGTCGTCTTCAGACTGGGTCCGGCCCTGGCATCCACCACCTGGCAAGAGAGCAGTGCAGATTAGCACCACCCTCAAAAGCCACAACGGAGCGCCCCGTGCTTCTGAACCCTTCCCGCCTGACCGCCGCCGCAAGGCCACACTGTCCAGAGATCCACCCTGCGCGTGGTATCAAAAAACAACACAGTGCGTCTACACTGGGGCTCCCAACTGCCCCTGAAGTGAGTACAGCGAGGATCCACTGAAAAAATGAGGCATGGATCTCCGCAGGAGAAAATGACAGCGGCCCGACTCGGGTGGGCAGGGAGCTGCCAAGCCACCCCCAGCTGGCATCGCTGCCCGGTGCCGCGTGGCTGACACCACGTCCAGGCCCTGCAGCCAGCCTCAGCCGGGGTGCTACTGTCACCCATTCACTCATTCCCTTTTCCTAGGCGTGGCTTTTTACTCCTACATTGAAAAAATTAAAATTCACAATTTTGATCTTCTTCCTCAGGAAAAAATATTAAACCGGGGCAGCCATGTGTAGTTTCTGACTTTCACTCCTCCCCCCCGCCCGAACTCACCCGGCTAATACACAACTTCCTAAATCAGGAGAAAGCTAATGCTGATTCTATCAGGGAGCAAGAAGCGAGCTGTACTAACGTGGTTCCAGTTCTTTTTGGATCCCGCCGGCAGCTTCTTCCACCTCTTCACAAGCAGGACACAGGCGTTACAGATGTCGCCGGAACGCGTCTCGTGCAACCTGGGGAGACACAGCGCCGCCCTGGTCCGTGTCCACCCCGGACAACTCCGCGGCCCATCCCCGCGGACTCTGTCGTCAAGCTCAGAAACAGACTCAACTTCCAGAGCAAAAACCCAGTCCTGTGTTCCCCAGTTTGCTCGTTTAAAGTCAAGCAGTAACACGTAGAGTTTCATGGTTTCAGAGGATGCCGTTTAACGCTTTTGTAATATTTCATAAGCAACAAAGCAGCACCCTTTAGGTAAAATATTGTGCCATTAAATTCTAGGTTCATTATAAACAAAACCAGGAAGTCAATATAATTAAATATTGACAATATTCATTATATGTAAGGTTGGAAATGAAGACACCAAAATATAATTTAAAACAGTTTATAACAACCTCAAAAAACAAACAAACAAAACATAAAAACCACAGTCCAGGATTCATAGGTAACAATCAATAATGTCTAGATAGGAAAAAATGGCAGAATTATCTTCTAACACAAAAAGTGGTTCCGTAGTAGACATTTTATACAAGTATCAGGGAAAAAGAAAAAAAAAAAACCCTACATTTTGTTAGATTATCATCAAAAGATAAACTAAGAATAAAATGATATAGCAGAAGCAAATGACCCCTGGGAAGCTCCAAGGCAGGACATGTTGCCCATCAGGTCAGTTCCAAAACTATTCTGAAATTTCAAATATGGGATCCAGTGCACTAGCCCAGTAGCTAAAGTCCTCGCCTTGCACATGCTGGGATTCCATATGGTGCCAGTTCATGTCCCAGAGGCCCCACTTCCCATTCAGCTCCCTGCTTGTGGTCTAGGAAAGCAGTCAGGGACAGCCAAAAGCTTTGGGGACCCCAGACCAGTGAGGAAGACCCAGAAGAAGCTCCAGGCTCCTGGCTTTGGATCAGCTCAGCTCTGTTGCAGCCATTTGGGGAGTGAATCAGCAGATGGAAGATCTTCCTCTCTGTAGATCTGACTTTCCAGTAAAAATTAATTAATTAACGAAAACATCAAGGGCACAGTAGCTTAGTGGCTCAAGTCCTCGCTTGCATGCACTGGGATCCCATATGGGCACCAATTCATATCCCGGCTGCTCTACTTTCCCCTCCAGCTCCCTGCTTGTGGCCTGGGAGACCTGGAAGAGGATCCTGGTTTCAGATCAACTCAGCTTCTCCCACCACGTGGGGAGCAAACCAGCAGATGGAGGATCTTTTTCTCTCTTTCTCTTTGTAAATCTGACTTTCCAATAAAAAGAAATAAAGCTTTAAACAAAACAAAACAAAAACAACCAATGAAGACAGTGGGGGGGGGGGGAACTGCTTCCTTGAGGACAAAGGTCATACTCACAAATGTACATAAAGACTTGTGTCTACATCCTGAGGCTAGCAACCAAGGGGTGTGTCCAGCTATAACCTTATGGGGCTTCACTACCAACGGGACAGCGGAGTCGGCACTGGCCGGTCACCTGAGCCTCTGCCTCTCACACCTCGCTCCAACTGCCTGGCTGGCGGATGCCTCCACTGGCTGAGATTCTTTTTTTTCCCCCTTTCTTTCTGAGAAGGGGACAAACATCAAATGATCTTACCCAAAACAGCTCTGGAAGTCCTTCTCGTAGCGTTTACTGTCGGTGAAGCGAGAACTGGAGGACTTGGCTCTGCAGATACAGCAGCCCTCTATACTCCGGTACATCTTTGGCTTGTGGAAACCAAACATCTTTCCTTCTTTTGGCGGTCAAGGTCTGTAGGGAATTGACAGGGCTCCGTTGAGTGCTCTAGCAAGACACCAAGGCAGGTTTCCTCAGCACCACCCCTTCCCCACCCAGCCAGGGTCACATAGTAGGGCTCTGGGAAGCTCTACTCCTGGCATCGCCAAGCTAAGTGTGTGACACCCCCAACAGCCCATCTATTTCGGGAAGCCCCCACTCCCTCCTCCCTCCCAGCAGATACTCATTCTGAAAATGAGGAAGGAGAACTCCTTAAAAAGATACTACTACCTATTTTCATTTTGATTTGAAAGGCAGAGAGAGAAGCAGCAAGATCTCTGATCGGCTGGCTCACCCTTGGAAGGCCCGCAGGCAGCCGGGGCCAGGTCAGAGCAAAGCTGCAGAGCTCGCCACTCCACGAGAGTCTCCCCGTGGATGGCAGCAACCCAAGCACATGAGCCGCCACCACCTGCTGCCTCCCGGGATGCACAGATGCAGAAAGGCGGAATCAGGAATCCATCAAGGATTCAAGGCCAGGCACGTGGGCACAGGATGTGGGGTGCCCCAAGTGGGGTTCTAACTGCTGTGCCCAACAGCCACCACAGAGACTTCACTTCTTAAAGTTCTGAAGCAAGTGCAGCGCCATCTCCCTAGGACCCCGTAAAAGGCAGACATCATTCAGGTCGAATCCTCAAGGTGAAGGGAAGGCATACCTCTTCATTTTGCGCCTTTGCAAGAGGTGATTTCCCTCCGGGGAAGTTCTGAGCATTTCCCACGATCACTCGTGGACAGTGAGCACACAGGCAGCTCAGCACCTGCTAACCCACACCACCCAGCCCTAGGGGCTTTCTTATGTGAAAAATGGGAAGTGCCGTCAAGCTCAGTGCTGAACCGAAACTGATCAAAGAAGGATGGAATTTCATGAAAATCCAGAGTTAGAGATTTTAAAAACAGTATTTTCATAAACCAATCAAGACAACCAAAGAATGTGTCCGTGCTGCCTGTGTACCCACGGCTGAGCCCTGAACTGCTGGGCCGTTTCTCTTCTGCAAGGCTTCTGCGTCTGACGGCAGTAACATTCGGACACATGTGCCCAGGAAACAGAGCCAGAAGCACACGCAACGGACAAGTATGCGGAGGTGTACGTATCACGAGCCAATACTACGTTTTTCACAAAACCATCACACACACAAAGTCAGCAAGAGAAAATTACTCAAAGTGCTGTCCTCTGTGCCTACGGTAAGGAGCCAACAATCCCAGGCCACCACCCCCTTGCCACTGATACTGAGGCTGGCACTGCAGTGTGCGGGCTAAGTCAGCAGTGACAACACCAGCAAACCACAGCGACGCTCCAGCTGCCTGCCAGTGTGCCCAGGGAGGGCAGCAGAAAATGACACCGAAGCTACTCCTAAAGGACACCTGGATGGAGTTCCTACATCCTGGCTTGGCCTGGCCGAGCCCTGTTGCAGCCATCTGAGGAGTGAATCGAAAGGAATCTGAGGTACTAACAGGTTTTGTACCAAAATATTGAAGAAAATACTCGGAGGCTGGTGCCTGGCACATCAGGTGCAGCTCTAACCTACCACACCAGGGTGCCAGCGTGTAAATAAAGTTTTTAAAAAGAGAAAACATTTGAAGATTTTTAATAGCAAGTAATTTGCTAAAACCAAAGCATCCCTTTCAAAATTTTAGCCATTTTTACTTATATGAGGGGCAGAAAGAGAGTAGGCCCATTCCCCTCTCTGCCGGTTGGCTGCAACGGCTCTCAACCCAGGTCCCCCACGTGGGTGGCAGGGACAGGAAGCAGGAAGTGGAGAAAGGCGCAGCATAGGAAACCCAGAGTTCTGAAAAGGGAGGGCGGCGACAAAGAAGGGAAATCTTAACCTTGGGGCCAAAGACACTCCCAACCCCAGAGGCTTCCCTTTTTAAAGGGGAATCACAGGTTCTTAAGTGTGTGCTGGCCAATGACGCTGGGGCAGGGGTGGCCGTGAGAAGTCTGACTTGATCACTGCAGTTAAATGGCTGTGGACGTGACCCTCCGGAGAGGGACAAACTGGGCAAGCACTCCTCGGAATAATGCCTAGCGCGTGTCTAAGGCTGCCTAGGAGACGGACTTCTTTCCTTCAGTCTCACAAACTCATGTGATCACTGAAAACAGCCACACGTTGCCGTGGGATAAACAACGTCCAATGACAGGATTACAGAAACAAGAATACCAAGGGTCTGGTCCTGTTTCAAGGCAAACCAGAACAGGGCGCTCCTGTCCACAGCTCCGCTCCAAGCACCCTCACATCCAGGTCAAAGTGCATGGGGTGCAGGAAGGTCCAGGAAGCACAGCAAAATGACCAGTCCCTTCCATTAATAAGCAGACCAAATCCTATTACAACAGATCCCTATCTCTGCCCGCCACCCCTGCCCAGCACGCCCCTCAGGCATGGCCGAGCCGAGCTGGCCTCACCCAAGGAGCCTGGGCCTGTGCCAGTGACCACACGGCTGCTGCCACACGCCGAGGCTTCTCGGGAAGCCACGGCTACTGCAGTCAGGCGGGGCTGTCAATGCTTTTCTGTTGGTGGAGACCTCACACATCTGACCAGCCCCTGGCAAGACATTCCACTGCGCCTTTGAGGAATACTCTGTCAGGGACGGCAGGCTGCTGTCTCGGGTCAGCTGGTCCTTCCCTGCGGAGCTGTGACCTTGTTCACTTCAGGAGCAGGAAGCCGCCTGCCCTGACATGGCGCAGCAGGAACACAGCAACCGCATAAGTCCTGACGACACCAGGAGCCCATTAAGGACTTTGTGCGCTTCTCCCTGCACTCGAGGGGCACCTGGGAATCCAATCCGCAGGGCTTTCATCCCGGGCTTTGTTTACAGCCACTCAGTGACGCCACAGTTAAGACTCTAACCATTTTCAATGTGGAGACCCTGAGATGAACTGCAAGTATCTTTACTATGATGTAGGGGATACAACCACCTTCTATGTGGGCATCCAACGGCTCCAACTTTATTGAAGGTGAATTTACTTGAAAGGCAGAGTTACAGCAGAGGGAGAGAATACTTCTGATCCACTGGTTCACTCTACAGATGGCCACAAAAGCTGCAGCTGAGCTGTCCCACGCCGAGAGCGTCTTCCGGGTCTCCCACGTGGGAGCAGGGGCCCCAGCACCAGGGCCATCTGCTGCTATATTCCCAGGAACTTCAGCAGGGAGCTGAGCTGGAAGTGGACTGGCTGCTCCACTCCCCGTCCAGTTCTGCCTTTCTTATCTGGAACTCTGATTTCCAAAAAATTAAATCTTCAAAAGACACAGCCCAAAAAGTCAACAAGAGGTAAAACCAGGAGCAAAGCGGCCTCTGAAGCCCAACCCTCTGCGTGTGTGGGAGGAGATGGGTGCTGGGCTAGGTTTTAAAGTGGAGATCAGAGTCCCAGCAGGTTGAGGGTCTTTCCTAGAGTTACATTTATGCACTGTTCTAAGATTTTTTTTTGCACCGAAATGATGTCTTTGGATTTCATTTCCCACCCCCTTTGTGCAGCACACTTGCAAGAATTGGAGCAGTGCTACCCCTCAAAGCTGCGGCTTCTGCCCGGCCGCTCCTGAGCACAGCATCATTCAGCATCATGACAACCTGGTTGGGCATTTTTTGTTTGGGAGTGTGTGTGTGTGTGTTTTTTTTTTTTTTTTTTTAACTATACGAGCTGTGAATGCCATCTGCTTCCTCACTGAGGAACAATCAGAAAGGCGCAGACCCTCTCAGCCCTCAGGTTATGCAGAAGAAAGGGAAGCTTGGAGAAAGAGGCAGAAATCAGAAGGACTTCAAATACCTTTTAGAAACTGTCCTCTAAAATTATGTGGTGGCGATGACACCCAACAGCCTGCAGAGACGCAGGAGGAGTGCGCTGTACACATGTCAATTACCATCTCAACAAGCTGTGACCTCGGCATCCGGACAGCACAGGTCTACAGGGTGCTTAAGAAACGAGTTGCTCCGGCCCCCAGACACGCTGTCCCCCGTCCCCGTGCCCTGTACACAGCACTGTCCCTGAAATCAGTCCTTTGGTAACTGCCGGCCTAAAACCCACACGCTTTAGCGGTCACAAATGAATCAACCATGCAGGAATCACAGCTCCTCTCAAAGTTAATCCAGCAGAGATGGTCAGAGACATAACTATACAAACAAAATATACACAGATCCAAAAAGTAGAAGGTAAAGTTTTCAAAAAAGTGCAACAATTAACTCTCAAGGTCTGTGTTGGCTCACTTGCTGGGGGTTCCCTCTTTGAGTTTGCCCTCAGCCTAGTGATCGCCTTGCTGCCGACCGTAACCCCGGTGTTGGTGGGTCAAGAAAAGGATGAGGTAACCAGTGGGCAGATACAAAAGGGCCCCACTAATCTAACCTAACAAGATGGGGAAGCCAAGGCCAGGCCCGCACATCCTTTCACGTCTGACTGTACATTAAGATCACGGAGCACCATCAGTGTGTTCTCAACCAGTACATGAGAAAAGCTTTCCTACAACGTAAGGTTACAGACGACCTCTTAGGAATCTGAACTCCACATACCTGAGAAGTTTAAGCTCCAACTAGGAAACAGCACGAAGAATACGGAAATGCAAATGTGCGCCCTTTTTAATTAAGGAACTAGGCAACGAGGAAGCCTCGATTTGCTATTTAAATTCTATAAGCGCACGAGTTTAATGTCTACGTAAACAGAGAATTGAACAACTATTAGGCCCACTGGTATGAAGTGTGGAAGGCCACAGTTGCTCCAAAAAGATGTTTCCCGATTGTAAAAGGCTCCTTCCTCTAACTTCTTAAAGTTTTTCTTTTTAAAATTTCCCCTAACAGTTAAAAACAGGTTTTTGGAAACTTAAAAATGCCACTGGGTGGAATAGGCTGAAGAACAGAGATAAGTAAGGCGAGGGTGGTAAATCACAAGTTACCCAGGTAAGCTGTCCATTGCCATTTGGGGAACTGAAATGTCACAAGGCATCAATTAGGTAAATCACCTTCTAAACAGAAATGCTCTTAGTTTTCAATAGACC